ATCAAATCAATTCTTACAATTTATTAAGAATGTAAAATCAATTTGATGGGATGAGCACTGGATGTTATACTCTATGTTGGCAAATTGAATTTTTAAAAAAAGGAAAAAAGGTAAAATCAATACAAATTATATACTATCTTATTTAATGATAAGGGCAGGTTAATACAAATTATAATTTTATTTAACAATAAGTTCAAGTTAAAACTGATGCCAAAACTTAACATTTTCCTTGTACTTATACATGTACATATGTTTAAGTATACACATATAAATGTATATTAAGATTTACAGTTTTTAAAGAGCTTACCAATGATGAACAAAAAATATTATAAATCCTAATCTCTTCTGGCATCTGTTAAGCCATTTTTGACATAAGCACCTTTTTTTTTTGTTTTAAGATTTTATTTATTTATTCATGAGAGACACAGAGAGGCAGAGACATAGGCAGAGGGAGAAGCAGACTCCCTGCAGGGAGCTGATGTGGGACTCAATTCCAGCACCCTGGGATCATAACCTGAGCCAAAGGCAGACATTCAACCACTGAGCCACCCAGATGCCCCAAGCTCCTTCCTTCTAAAAGAGCTTACTGTTACTGATGCATGTTTTAAATATTATCATGAAAAGGGACCAATCATCTGCCTCCCTGTAGGCACCCATGATCTATTCATATTTTAATGTAATACCCAGTTTTCTCTGACCAGTTTTTTTGTCTAACTTTCCTAAATACAGAACCATACAACTGTTAATATGTATTTTATATCCAAATATTCTTTGAAGTTTCCATAAGGACCACTGGGTAACCACAAAGATTTATCTTTTCACCTTATGTCAGGGAGAATACCAAAACACGTTTGCTCTTCTGTGTGTATAAAGTAGCTTAATGATCACATATCCTGATGAAACAAATGTCTCAAAGATCTGTCTATGAATTCAGATACCTAATAGGTTTTCTTCAGCAAACATTTTAGCAACTATCAACTTTGGATATTTCTAATTAGGCTAACTCCTCATTTTACACAAAAGGTAAGGTTTGTTGTAGGAATACTAGCTCAAATTTTATAACTCAACGTAAATCACTTTTTACCTTAACATTTCTCTCAACTTATAACTAAGGCTCATCTGCCTTATTTAATAAAACTTGGATTTATTTTATTAATACATTCAAGTAAAAACTACTGGACTACTAGTTAGAAGGCCTAGGTATCTAATGACACACTATTTAATCTATGTAGACCTTCCTCATTTATAAAAATGGAGCTAATACCTGTACTATACACTTCTCAGGAATCTTATGCAAATAAATAAGAAACAAGCTGATATAAATATGGAAATCTGATAAAAGACAGAAAGGTCATTAACAAATCAGTGGGCGGAAACATACTATTCAATAAACTGATTATCTACATAGGGAAAAAAGAATTTAAATTTCCTAAATAAATTACAGATGATTTAAAGAAGTAAATACTAAAAAAGCAAGTTTTTTTAAAGATTTATTTAATTCATGAAAGATTTATTTATCTAAAGATTTTATTATTTATTCTCTCTCACAAAGAGAGAGAGGCAGAGACATAGGCAGAGGGAGAAGCAGGCTCTTTACAGGGAGCCTGGTGTGGGACTCAATCCCAGAACTCCAGGATCATGCCCTGGGCCAAAGGCAGACACTTAACTGCTGAGACACCCAGGCATCCCGCAAGTTAAAGTTTTGAGAAGAAAATATAGAAAAATAGATCTTTATGATCTTGGAATCAATACAAAAAGCAAATGTTCAAAAAGTCTGATAAATTCTATAGCTGATCCTTGAACAACACAGGTTTAAAGGGTGCGGGTCCACTTACTCATGATTTTTTTTCAATATACACAATACTGAAAATGTTTTTTCTCTTCCTTATGATTTTCTTAATAACACTTTCTTTTCTATTTCTAGATTTTAAGAATATAGCATATAATACATGTAAAATATAAAATATGTGCTAATTGTTTATGTTTTCAGTAAGGTTTCGAGTCAACAGTAAGTACGTAGTTACATTTTTAAGAAGACAAAAGGTATAAGCAAATTTCTGACTGTGTGGGGGTCAGGGCTCCTAACCCCCAAGGCTGTTTAATGTACAGCCTTAACTGTACATTAAAATTATGTCTTCTGAAAATAAATAAATAAATAAAATTATGTCTTTTGTATAAAAGACATTAATACCCATTAAGGATTACAAGCCAAAATAGAGTTTCTAAAAAATAGAAAACTGAGCCAAGCAACTTACAAAGAGGCAATTCATTTAAAAATGAACAAAAAGCAAATGAAAGATATTTAACTATTTAACCTCACTAATAATTAGGGAAATGCAAATTAAATCCAGAAATATACCCCAGTACACTGTCAAAAAATAACAAGTCTAACACCAACACATTTCAATAAGTACATGGGACAATAAGAATTCTCACACCTTTGGGCACCTGGTGGCTCAGTCAGTTGAGGGTCTGCCTTCGGCTCAGGTCATGATCCCAGGGTCCTGGGACAGAGTCCTGAGTCAGGTACCCTGCTCAGCAAGGTGTCTGCTTCTTCCTCTCCCTCTGACCCTCTCCTCTGCTTGAGCTCTCACTTGCTCGCTCACTCTCTCTTTCAAATTAATTTTTAAAAAAACGAATTCTCATACCTTGCTATGGGGTTATAAATCGGCTCATCCAATTTTGAGAATGATGCAGCAGTATTAGGACAAGTTAAACATGTACATACCCTAAAACTTAGTAATTCTATTTCTCCTATATATACTACTACAAGGAATCTCTTACACATTTGCTCAAGGAAACATGTATAAAATGTATGTACAGGCAAAAATCTTTTTTCAGAGTGATGAATTATCAAGAGACTAAATACATTGTATACCTGAAAATATAACACAGTGTTAACACCTGAAGAAAAAGAATCACATCTGAAAATAAATAAAAATTATCATTTTAAAAAATAAAAGTGGGGCAGCCCCAGTGGCGCAGCGGTTTAGCACCGCCTGCAGCCCAGGGCGTGATCCTGGAGACCCTGGATCAAGTCCCACGTCAGGCTCCCTGCATGGAGCCTGCTTCTCCCTCTGCCTGTGTCTCTGCCTCTCATTCTCTCTCTGTGTTTCTATGAATAAATAAATAAAATATTTAAAAAAATAAAAATAAAAAAATAAAAAATAAAAGTGGAAACAACTCAAATGCTCACCCTTCAATGAATGAATAAAAAGTGGTACATTACTTGCAATAAAAAGGAGTGAGTACAAAAAAAGGGGAGAGATTAAACATTTTCATATAACCATACAAGGTAATAACTATAAATCAACCAACCACTTGTTTTTTATTATATATATATATAATGAGAGTTAATGGTTTGTATATTTTCAAAAGTTATATCTTAAATGGTTATTTATCTAGATAACTATTTCCATTTTGCCTCTTGGCCAGCAAAGTCTAAAATATTTACTCTCTGGCCCTTTAAGAAAGTTTGCCAACCTCCACTCTTTATAAAGGAATAAAAATAAATCATCTATCAACATGAATAATCTTAAAAATGAACTGGAAAAAAAGCAAGTCACAGAAGGATGTGTATACTAATGAAACCATTTTTATAAACTTTTAAAACCATACCACTGCTGTTCATATATACATGTACATGTAGAAAAAGTATAAAAATATCCATGAGAATGGGCTCAGCAAAAGTATACATGGGATTTCAGTGGTCACTATGTTTTATTTCTTAAGTGAAATCATGAGGGAATCAGGGGTTTTACTTTTTTTTTTTTTAACCTGAAATATAAAGAAACTGAAAAGTTGTATGAAACTGGTGTGAAAAAGTTAGAATGTGTATAGGATTTTTTTTTTTTTTGGTACTACAATGACATATACTACTATGCTTTAGGGCACTATGATCATTTATTTTCATACACCCCTAGCACCTTGCAAGTTTCTCATATATATATATTATTTGTTGAAAAATAAAAGAATAAATACTATGTCAATAAACAAAAATATGCAAGAACAATACCTAACTCACTAGGTTGTTAGGACTGATGAAAATTCATTGAAAGTTCCTAGCAAATACTTGGCACAAATAAGCACTCAAAGTATGTTGACTATTATCACCTGAGGAGAAGAAGTATTAAGATATATTCCCAATTATTGAAACCACATTAACCTGACTCAAAAGGAAGCAAATCAAACTAGACATTAAAAATGACTAAGGGGCACCTGGTTGGCTCAGCTTGTTAAGTATCTACCTTCCGCTCAATTCATGATCCCAGGGATCCCTGGGTGGCGCAGCGGTTTGGCGCCTGCCTTTGGCCCAGGGCGCGATCCTGGAGACCCAGGATCGAATCCCACATCGGGCTCCCGGTGCATGGAGCCTGCTTCTCCCTCTGCCTGTGTCTCTGCGCCTCTCTCTCTCTCTCTGTGACTATCATAAATAAATTTAAAAAAAATTAAAAATAAAATTAAAAAAAAAAAACAATTCATGATCCCAGAGTCCTGGGATGGAGCTCCGCCTCTGGCACCCTGCTCAGCCTGCTTCTCCCTCTCTGTCTGCCCCTCCCCCTGCTCCTGCTCGCTCGCTCGCTCTCTAACTCTCTCTTAAATAAATAAGATCTTTTAAAAAAATTACTAAGATAGTTAATTATACTGGAATTAAAATACAAAATACATTTTTTAAAATAACTAAAATGGTAAATTTTATGTGCTTTTACCACCTTAAAAAAAACTTAAAAAACTTTTAAGTGACAATAATACTTACCTTTTTAAATGTATCACTCACATGCCATGTACTACATAATAGTCCCCATTTTAATATGAGGAAACAAATGCAGAGTACTACTTTGTCCTGGGGCAACCCCTAACTAACAGGTGAGCATGGATTTACAACCAGGTTTGTCAGACAGCAGAGCTTCTTACTTCTTCACAAATGATTAAATGACACTGACAAACTATTAAATGCTAAACAACAAAAATAACTATATTGTATACATAACAGACATTACCCAGAATGATTTTTCTTCGTAACCAGGTCTTCCTCATCACTTTCTAATGACTCATTCTGGCAACAACCAGAAATTTCATCATGGTCAGTAATTCTTCCAGAATCTTTAGCATTTAAAAACTCCTGTGCTCCTGAGCTGCCTGAAGTAGTTATCTCCCGCTCTTTAAATGGGATAGTTTTTTCCTTAGTATTCTTAGATGACTGATTTGGTTTTTCAGCAAGTTTTTGTCTACAGTTGTAAGACAATGACAATTCATTTCTTCTCGGAGAATTGCTATAAACAAGACCTGAAAGAGTCAATGATAACCTAAAGTTAGCATAATGTTTATCTAGATTATTGAGCTCACTGAAATACCAACATTATTTACTTAGATGTAAACACACACACACCAATCTCATAGGCTATGTTTGTTTTCAAATTAAATACATATACTGTACAGCTTTTCAATTTTTAGGTATATGCACCAACCCCTTTAAATTCATCACAGGCTTCCAAAACCACCTTCTGGGGATCCCTGGGTGGCGCAGCGGTTTAGCGCCTGCCTTTGGCCCAGGGCACGATCCTGGAGACCCGGGATAGAATCCCATGTCGGGCTCCCGGTGCGTGGAGCCTGCTTCTCCCTCTGCCTGTGTCTCTGCCTCTCTCTCTCTCTCTCTCTCTGTGTGTGTCACTATCATAAATAAATAAAAATTAAAAAAAAAAAAAAGAAAACAAAACCACCTTCTGTGTCTCTACCCACTACTCTTTGGGCCATCCTTAAGATCTGGTTATTTCCCAAGGCTCCAGCTTCAGCTTCTCACTCTATGCACCTACTTTGAGGGACCCTTCTACCCTTAAACTGTAATTACTATGTAGATACTGGTATAATATTCACCTACAACTCTTTCCTAAATCTTCCCCTCTGGTTTTAGTTCCTATCTTAATGAAAAGCATAACTATTGACCCAGATATCTACATCAGGAATCTGAATCATTGAAGACTCCTGTACCTACTCACAATCAATCCCCTAATTCTGTCATTTCTACATTCTTACTATCTCTCAAATCTACTTCTTCCATAGCTCTCCTGCAGGGATCCTCAACATTTCTTAACTGGATTATTAAAGCAGCCTGTTAGTCTCCCTTTCTCTAGTCTTGCCATTCTTCAATCCATTCTTCACACTGCTTCAAGAATCATCTTAGGAAAACACAAGTTGGATCATGACAATGTTGTTAAAATCTTTTAGTGATTATCTGTAACTTAAGGATTAAGCCCAAATATTTTCAATTATTTATTTCTACACCTATTTATTTCATTAATCAAAAATGTTTAACATTCGCTGTCAAATAAACAAACCAAAAAAATCCGGCAATACTGAACTACTTGCATTTCTCTAAAGCACTGCATCTTAAAAGGTTGCTCCCTGGACCAGCAGGATCAGTATCACTTGAGAACTAGTTTGAAATGCAAATTTTCAGGCTTCACTTCAGACCTACTAAATCAAAAACTCTGAGTAGAGCCCAATAATCTGTGTTTTAACAAGCCCTCCAAATAACTCTGATAAAACAATTTTTAAAAGGTTAAACTCTAATCTCCAGATGCTACTCTACTGAAAACATTCCATCCTTCCTTCTCACCCCATTCACTCAGTTGATTGCTAATTCATCCTTCAGGAAGCTTTCTCGAATTCCCATCCCCAAATTAAGTAGCTCTCTCTCAACTCTTTGATAGTATTTATTAGCCATCTAACTGTTTACTTATCTTTCTCTTCCAGCATACTGACAACCCCTAAGATCAAAATTGCTCTTTTACATTCCGAATGCCTAACACCAGGAGCAGGACTGTGGTGAAGCAATTTTTTTTTCCAGTTCTACTGAGATATAAATGACATATAACATTGTATAAGTTTAAGATACACAATATAATAATTTTATATATGTATATATTACAAAATGAATACCAAAGAGTAAAACTTAAAGTTCTCATCATAAAAAAATTTAATGAGTTTGGAAAATTTAAGAAGGTGCTCACTCTCAGAGTCATACAAACACTGAATCTGAACTCACACAACCCTGAGACCAAGTGCTTCTGCAAATTTCTCATTCTTTGTTACTCATCACTTGCTCCACTCTAGTATTGGGCCTTGCCTAACACCATTCCTGCCTCAGAGTGGGCACTCGATAAATGTTTCTCAACATACATGAAAAAGCAGCGGGGCCACATTTATATAGGCAGTTTGGTTGCTTACTAGGGAAATAAGCAATGGATCAACAGCCAGAAAACTTGAATTCTACTGTTTTCCAGTTCTAGCACAAAGGCCTATGACTTTAGGTTCCAAGTCATATTGCTTTTTTGAGCTTCAGACTTTTTCTATCAGAAGAAGTATTGGTAAGTCTCAGAGTTCTAGAAAACTTATCCAAGCTTTGTAGATTTTTATTTACCTATATATTTACATGCTCATCTGCCATAGTACAGTTTCAGACACCTGGGGCAGAAAGGTGAGTTCATCAAAATAGTAACAGGAGGGGATCCCTGGGTGGCTCAGCAGTTTGGCGCCTGCCTTTGGCCCAGGGCACTATCCTGGAGTCCCGGGATCGAGTCCCACGTCGGGCTCCCAGCATGGGGCCTGCTTCTCCCTCTGCCTGTGTCTCTGCCTCTCACTAGGTCTATCATAAAATAAATAAATAAATCTTTAAAAAAAATAGTAACAGTTGATAATATTTTATATACTAACTACATGCCACTTACTCCTTCTACGGAGGTAGAAGGATTTGTAATAATGTTACAAAATAAGAAACTGAACAAAATAACTGAAAAGTGGAGAAATCGTAATTTAAACCCAGATCTAAGTCCAAAATCCAAGGAAGGCTACAAGAGAATTTCTCTTTCTACTATCAAGGATCCCAATGACTCAAAAATTCATAGCAACAATGCCTCAGATGTAGTGCCCTATTTGTTCTACTCTCACTTGTTGATCTAAATACCAGAGACAACAGATTCTGCAAATGTAAATATTCTTTTTTCATTTTTAATCTTCTACCATCTTCTCATGATTACTTCCTTTAAAAGATTAAAAATGTTTCCAAAACAATAAATGTTTCACGTCGTACAGAGAAGAGATAGTATAGCAGACCGAAGAATGTCATCTTTAGAAAGACCTGCTTGCAAAGTTACCTCTTGACTAGATTGTGGGAACTCAAATTTTGGAGGGTTCCCATTATTTCCTAACTGATAAATGTGGCTTAGTGCGCCTAAACTGCTTTGCAAAAAATACGGTTTATGTCAAATACTTGCTTTCCTTCAGGGAGTCTGGAATTTTAGTACTTACTAGGTAGACGGTGTCTAGGTGATCACCTCCAGGCTTCTTTATCCATTCATAAGTGATGGACACTTGGGCTGCTTCCATAATTTGGCAAGTGTAAATAACACTGCTATAAACATCAGAGTGCATGTATCCCTTTGAATTAGTATTTCATTGGGTTCAAATACCTAGTAATGCAATTGCTGGATCACAGCTATTTTTAACTCTTTGAGGAATATCCATACCGTTTTCCACAGTGGCTGCACCAGTTTGTATTCCCACCACAGTACAAGAGGGTTCTCCCTCCCCTACATTCTATGAGGTTATTTTAAATGAGCAGATAAATTGATGTAACATCCTGTAAATTACCAAAAACACAAAGACCTTTCCTTGACCCCACATCTCTATGCTCCCTTATCTTACTATCTCTCCTTCCTCACTTCCTATTCTCTTAAAACCACTTGAATCAGGCTTTTGATCTATCATTCCACAGAAACCATTTCTATCAAAGTGACCAACAACTTCCATGTGGCCAAAATTCTATTGTCATTTCTTAACTCTCATCCACTTCAAGCCATCAGCAGTATTTAAGAGTTCATCACTCATCCTTAAAATGCTTTCATTACTTTGCTTCCATAAACCTAAGTGCTCTTCATTTTCCTTTAATCTTACTAACTGTTCCTGTTTAGTTTCTTTTGGTGGATGGATCTACCTTTTCGTCTTGACTCCTGATTAGTCTCTCAGGACTAAATCCTTGGCTTTCTTCTCCAGGTTCATTGTGTCATTATGTGATTTCAAACAGTCCTAAAGTTTTAAAAATCATCTATATATTGTTAGGTCCCTAATTATACATCCTCCCAAATCCTTCTCCCTAACTTTAAATTCATTTACCAAGCTATTTCCTCAATATATCTACTTTGATATCTAATTAATTTATTACAACCTGAAATCTTGACATCCTTCCCATATCTGCTTCTTTCATACTTTTCCTCATCTCAGTAAACAATAGAGCTCGAATATTCTATTTGTTCAGGCAAAAATAAGTCTGAGTCATCCTAGACTCCTGGTTCTCTCTCCGTTAGTACCAAATCCAAACACTTTTCATCTCTTCCCTCTGACAATCTCTTACCTAGTGCCCATGCCCTAGTTTCTTCTCCATATAGCAGTAAGAAAATCTTTTAAAAGAAGACTCAAGGGGATCCCTGGGTGGCGCAGCGGTTTGGCGCCTGCCTTTGGCCCAGGGCGCGATCCTGGAGACCCGGGATCGAATCCCACGTCGGGCTCCCGGTGCATGGAGCCTGCTTCTCCCTCTGCCTGTGTCTCTGCCTCTCTCTCTCTCTCTCTGTGTGACTATCATAAAAAATAAATAAATAAATAAATAAATAAATAAATAAATAAATAAATAAATAAATAAATAAATAAATAAAAGAAGACTCAACCAAGTCACTTTACTGCTTAAAATCTTCCAGCAGCTTCCCAATACACTTCATCTAAACTCTCTATCCCAGTCTGCCTCTCTGACTTCATCTCTCCTGGCTTACTCATCTTTAGCCATACTGGCCTTCTTGAATCCCTCAAACATGCCAAGTATGCTCCATTAGCACCTTTACAAATACTGTTCTCTTAGTCTGAAATGTTACACACCAAGTTATTTGTATGGTTCCCCTCTTCATTTTTCTAAGATATTTTCTCTGAAAGATCAAAATGGACTCTTATTACACCTTTTATAAGAACAGTATTCTCTTACCTACCCCTACTTCTGCCATCTACTTCTCATCTCTATCATTTATCTGCTTTATTTTTCTTTATTACCTATCACTGCATGAATTATACATCTATATTGCTGGTCTTCCTTTACTTAAATGTAAGTCCCATGAGAACAGTTTATTTTTCCACAGCTATATCCTTATATCTAGAATATAGTGTATAGTAGAGCCCAGTATCTTTATACTTTAATTGATTTAATATTTCTATCAATGACCCAATTTAACTTTGTCCTCATTAAATTTTCTGTGGAAAATGGGACTATAAATCAAACATAAAGCCTCCTATACAATGACTTTTCGGAGCTCTCCAAGAACATCATTTAAATAAAATACTTACTCTGCTCTGATTTTACCACCCACCAATCAGATGGGCGCCGGGAAATTCTTCGACTTCTTGTAATAGTTGAAGTCACTTCATCAGGTATAAGCTTATTCTTCTTGGACCCACTAGGAAAATGCTTCTTTTTAGATTTCTTATCTTTTTTCTGATACACTGTATAAGGAACATTGGTGCTATTTTTCTTGCTTCCTAAAGAAAATAAAAAAAAAATTACAATCTATGGAACCAGAGTTTTCAGAAAATCACAACAGATTAAAAAAAAAAAAACCCTTTCAATTATGTCTTAAATTTATTCTGTAGGCTTCTTTCATCTCCTTTTTTTTTTAAGTCAAATGTTCTCAATAAGATCTGTTTCTGTCAGTTAAATGTAAACCTTTCACATAGCTTGAGAACATATACTTCTGAGCCCAAAAAAATGTACATTCTGAATTCTGAGTACATTCTGAAAAGGAAAAGTATGTGGCTTCTTCCAACTACTGACCAATGTCCCAAATCAAAAAAAAAAGGTAACCATTGTTTTTCTGTTTTGAATAGTCATGATTTTGTCAAACTAATTTTTGAAAGAAGAGATTTAAAATGAAGTTTTTTTCTTTTTTTAAAAGATTTTATTTATCCATTCACGAGAGAGACACAGAGAAAGAGAGGCACAGAGAGACAGGCAGAGGGAGAAGCAGGCTCCATGCAGGGAGCCTGACGTGGGACTCGATCCCGGGTCTTCAGGATCACGTCCTGGGCTGAAGGCAGCACTAAACCACTAAACCCCATCCGGGCTGCCCTAAAATGAAGTTTCAAAAGATGTTCCTATATGAAGGAAAAACATTATTTTTGTGAATAGAATTTAAAAAGAAAAAAGAGGGGATCCCTGGGTGGCGCAGTGGTTTGGCGCCTGCCTTTGGCCCAGGGCGCGATCCTGGAGACCCGGGATCGAATCCCACATCGGGCTCCTGATGCATGGAGCCTGCTTCTCCCTCTGCCTGTGTCTCTGCCTCTCCCTCTCTCTATCATAAATTAAAAAAAAAAAAAAAAAAGAAAAAGAAAAAAAAGACTGAAAAGAAACAATGAATATGGCAAGCAATCATAGCTAATGTAAAGGTCTGGTACCAGTAGTAACTTCATTTCATCCCAATGACGTAAGAAAAGAATCTAACAGAAAGGTGGGATCAATTCTAGTTTTGTTTTTTGTGGCTGACAACAAGAAGGAAAAATCAGGGAAATACAAGGTATTTCAATACAAATATTACAGCAAAGAGGGGCACAACCACCAAAATGGAAAATTTTTTTCAGGAAGAGGTTTAAAATATTAGATGTTAGTAGACAGAATGAAAAATTTTCTTGATCATCAAATAAATCAAGAAACCAGCATTTATGAAGCATCTGAGAAAAGACTTCTGATCCAAAAAAAGAATTAAACCCCTATTAAGTAGGAAATATTCATGGAGTAAACAAATTACATAAAGTCTGTAAGACCAAAGGAGCAGATAGGTATTATACATAATCACATAATTAAATATGAAACTGTACAGAACTTTTCAAAAAAATGAGAACATAATTCGGGTTGAAATCTGGAAATACAGGAAATACAAGACCAGACTTTCACTCTGAAGGTAAATTTGGGAAAATAATTCAGACGGAAGCAAAGGAATAATTTTCTCAAGGTATGAATATAAAGGAAGAACAAAGGGCAAACTATTAAACTTGAGGAATATGGAAAGAATCACCAAAATTTATAAGTGAAATGAGAAAAAGAAGTCAATAAAGACATAGAAGGAAATCAAACAAAAAAATACGAGAATCAGACTTATCCTGGATTATCTAGGCTGGTCCAATCTAATTATATGTGTTCTTAAAAGTAGTGGTCAGAAAGGGCAATGGTAAAAGAGGTAAAAGAAAATGGAAATGTAAGAAGGCTGGTATTGCTGGCTTGGAAGATAAAAGAAGGAAATCATGATACAAGGATATAAACAACTTCAAGAGGCTGGAAAAGACAAGGAAGCAGATTCTCACCCAGAATCACAGGAAAAGCAACCTTGTCAACACATTGATTTTAGCCCAATGAAATCTATTTCAGACTTGTGACCCATAGAACTATAAAATACATGTATGTTTTTTAAGTCACTAAGTATGTGGTAATTTGTTATGACAGTGATAGAAAATTAATACAACTGGTAATCAGAAATTATAGTCACTAAACAATCTAGATAAAGAAGAATTTAATATACATGAAAATCAATGGGAAGAATTTGGCATTTAATTAAACAGAGTATCCTTCAAGTATACTTTCTTGATACAATGTTTTTTTCCTAAGAACTTAGGATAAATAAAAATTTTTGTAGCTTCAAATTTTGTGAATTCATATTTTAAGGGACTAATAAGAAAAAAAAAACTTTCCTATAATGTAACTTCAGTTTAGTCAGGTTCTTTTTATTTTCTTAAAATAGCCACCTCCTGAGAAAAGGAAAGAAGGCAGGCAGGCAGGCCAGCCAGCCGGCCAGCCTGGGTGGCTCAATCACTTAAGCATCTGCCTTAGGCTCAGGTCACGATTCCAAAGGTTCTGGGTTCTAGCCCTGATTATCGGGCTCCCTGCTGAGCGAGGAGTCTGTTTCTCTCTCTCCCTCTGCCACCACCACCCTGGCTCATGCTCTCTCTCTCTAATAAATAAATAAAAATATTTTTAAAAAATAACCTGGGACATTTGGACATTTACAAGAGAGGTCCACAAAATAAAAACAGTGGCTTTTTTCTCCCTTTATTTTAAGCAGAATTTTTCAAATACACAAAGGTACGAACAGACAAAACTAATGTGTGACAACCATTAATTCAGGTAATTTAAAGTCTATGTTATAGATTATACAAAAAGCTAAAGTAATTGAATAAGTAATAATTAAAGTGGAATTTTTCATAAAAACTAGCTTAAACACCGTACTTTACCTCTTTCTCCCTTCTTTATCAGCAATATGTTATAGTCATCTAGAACCTCTAGGTACAAACACAATTATAGTGAAGAGAGTTTTCTGGTTAACTAATAGCTTTTTCAAATGACTACCAAAAACACTTCCACTTATTTCAAAACTTCTTGATAGTGCTTAAAAAATATAGGCTCTAACGAGGAGACAGATCCTCAGCCAGTATTTTTAACCTTGAGTGTTATCTCCTAACATATGGGATTATCAAGAAGGATTAAATTATATTATGTACATATAAAATATCTAATACATTTATTAAGTGTTTCCTATTCCATTAACTATTCTAAAGAAACCTGTAAGAATAATTACCTTTTCTATTACTTAGAAAGCAGTATAAAGAATATAAATGGATCTTTTCTTCATGAGAGTTTCATCATTACAAACCTTAATCACTATACAATAATGACATAAAGAGGATAACCATACTCCAGCTTTGTCTGAGACAATCTCAGTTTATGCTTCCTGTCCTGACATCCCCTCTTATTCTCAAGTCTCCCAGCTTGGATAAGTAATATAGTGAAACAAGATAAAAATATCTATTGAGATATTACTTGGATAACGGTCTCTAATTCTACTAGTGGCCTATGAATATATGTGTATATCTGCTAGTCTACAAACACTACTAGATCGATTTTTTTAATGGTGATAACTGTGTCTCAGTAATCTTTGTAATTTCACTACCTAAATACAGTGTCTAGCAATTTACTGTTAGATTAATGAGAAAATGATGGAATAAAAGAGTATGAATTTTATTCTGTAAGAAATAGCCCCATACTAATCTTGTTTTTTTTTCCCCCAGTATATATTTCAATAAACCTCAAAGAATATATGATGTTGTCTTATTCATATTCTGGTAACTACCTGGTTTATGAGTCTTTCCCATTCACTTTTTCCTTTATATATATATACTACCATCTTAGAAGCTACACAAAACTCAAGTGACTCAGAATTTAGTTGTAGGTAAAAGACAGATGCTAGAAAAGAGCCTACAGATTTAGTTTTACTTTGCCTACTTCCCAAAGCTAAACAGAAATATTATAAAAACAAAGTTGTGGAATACTGTTCATAGTTATACTTAATATAAAACACTTACCCACAGGCAGCACCTGTTTATTGGAAATACCAACATTTATCACCTTTTCACACTCATTCCATATTTCTATCTGAATTTCTCTGTAATTTATCTTGGGTGATATGTGACACATTTATATTGTTACCTTTCGATTGTTCCATATCAACCTGTTCTTCAAGGATATTGGCCTTAAATTTTCCTCTCTCTTGTTGTTGTATAGTCTTTTTCTTTCCAGATGATTTCTCTGCATTCTCATAATACATTTCATGTTTTGTAGATCTATAATCATTTTCCAGTTCATTTGTCAAAGCACAACTTCTACCCAGTCTTTTTTGTTCAGAGGGCTGAGATGTCTCTACTGCATAAGCTGTGCCAGAATGTTTGTCACTTGTCAAAGCTGTAGGTGACACGCTGTGATGTTTTTCTTTTGACTTCTTACTTTGAAGGAGTGCAGAGCTCTCTGCAGGGTACACTGTGTACTGTTTCAGAGACCCAGCCTTTCTGGGTATAGTAATCCAAGGTTGACTGGCAATACTGCTTTCTGATTCATCAATTATAAATTCATCCTCTAACAACTTTAGGTCATTTGAAGGAGATGAATGAGGTGGAGCAGTTGCTATATGCCTAACAACAGGACTAAACAGGATGTTACAATAAGTAATAGCTCGAAAAATAAAGTTTTTACCTTTGCTTTGTGAAGAAAATAATCTAAATAGGAAATATAATCTATGTATCTTTTAAAGAACAGTATACATCTCCTCAATTTTCTCTTACCCTTGAAAATCCTCCTCTCCTTTTACATTTCTGTAATACCCAATTATACTCATTTAAAACACTAATGAAATCACAGAAGTTCAGAGCTGGAAGGAAGCATAGACATCAACTAATTTAAGGCTCCCCCAACCCAGTATATATATTGAATAGTTGAAACCCGCAGATGTGTTAAACAGCCCAGATACATTGATCTACAGTCCAAAAATGCATGCCATTATTATTTATACTGTTATACTAATTCTATGCCTGTATAGATGTCTCTTAGGGGCCAGATTTCTTCACATCCAAAACAATGTCATTTCCAAGGCATCTTCAAGTCTAATAGTCTAAGAAAACACTACAAATGTATGCACTAAATATAAAAATTCATTCCAAGTTTGATAATTCACGTACGCCTTCAAATAAGTTTTAATATTGCAATCACAGTATAGAAATAAATGAAAACTATCTAGAAAGGTAATCTAATAGGAATTAAACAGCATCTCTTCCAATTAGTTGGGAAAGCTTTCTAGAGAAGGAATTATTCAAAGGATAGTAATCTGATGGACTCTTCTCCATTTCCTTCGTTTTTATAACAACAGCCTCAAGCAAAACACCTACTAAAGTGAGATATGCATAAGTAAAAACTTAGGGTAAACACCCAAACTCTGAAGCTAGCATATGTACTCCTGTTTCTGCCTTTTCCACTTGAGTCAGGATGCTTAAGCATTATCGTGTCTGTCTCTTCTATCTTTTCATTAATAAAATATACAAAAAAATAAAAATAAAAAAAATAAAAAATAAAAAAAATAAAATATACAAAAAGATTATGAAATGAAAATGCCTTCTCTACTTCTCTATAATCTCAAATTATAAAATTTACATTTTATAATGTAAAACTAGTTTTACATAAGATTTATCTATATATATAAATATATATATACACACACACACACACACACACACACATATATATATATACACACTAAGAAATATACTATCTTCTAACAGGTAGAGTTTTGCAAGTTTATATGATTAGAAAAGTCTAGAAAATCTAATGAAAACCAAGTCAATATAAATAGAAAACCACAATGTATGAATATTTAAACAGAAATGTTACTTTTCAACATTTAAAGATATAGCCAATCTGTTATAAACAGGTTTAATTTGCCTTACTGTATATAACTCATCTATTAAGTTTTTGTATATAAAGAAGTAATGCTAAGAATTTAAAAATTAAGCCTTCCTAAACCGGCCAATAAGAATTCTCTAAATTTGCACCTCTATTTTACTTCAAGGGACTTCCAAAACATCATGATTAGTCAAACTGAAGATATCCTTAGGAAACAACGTTGACACTTGCTATAGACTGAATGTCTGTATATTTCCAAAATTTATAAACTGAAACCTAATCCCCAGTGGAATAGTATTTGGGGATGGGGCTTTTACAAGGTGATTAAGTCATGAGGGTAGAACACTAATGAATAGAATTAATACCCTCATAAAAGAAGCCTCAGAAAGCCTTCTTGCTATCATCTGCCATGTGAGGTTATAGAAAGAAGATAGCCAAAAAAAAAAGAAGATAGCCATCCATGACCCAGGAAGCAGATGTCACCAGAAAAGAAAAAGACTAGCATATGACAAGGGGAAAATGGTATGCCAAAACAGACAAATGCAAATGTGTATGACCAAGTTGGCAGAAACAGTTAACCAGGGAGAGTGAAGGTTGTAAATACCAGCTGACAAATCTGAAGTTTATATACGCCAGTGGTTCTCAACCCTAGCTGACATTAATTGTAGTTAACTGTAATGTGCAGCCACAGTGAAGATCACTGTATGGACACTGAAGAACCTCTAAAGGTTTTAAGGAGGCCAAAACAGACTAAAATTTATTAACACAAGCAGAAGAAAAATAAAAATGTTAAAGCCCTTAATGGTGAAATACATCATGACATAATTCTGTTTCTAAATACTGCCTTCATTCTTTGGTATCATACAGATTTGAAAGTGCTAATGACCAAAAGCAATGAAAGCTGAAAAAACTTATTGTCTTTCACATTTAATTTAGTAGATATTTAATGATGGCTTTGGGAGTGATTTGCTGTGAGAGTTAGGCATAATTTCAATTAAAATTTGTACCAATTAAGATTAACTTCTATATAAATAGCATTTAGCATTAAGAATTTATTTAAATAGCATTAAGAATCCTTGATATTGTTCACAGAATGTAAAATAAAATTGCCTCAAAGGCAGCTTCCTAGTAACTCACCTGGATTCACTTTTTCGTTTTACAGTTTCTAAAAACAATGTTGAAAAACTTTTTTTAGTTTGTGGCTGAATTTCATCTTCTGAGTCTTGTACTCTTTTCTGAGATATTCTTGATGATCTCCTCTTTTGTGTTTCTTCTGATATTTTATCCTCTATTTCTGATACTTTATTTGCTATTTCTCCTTTCTTCAAAACACTTTTATCTTCAAAATTTAACCTTGAAGGTTAAAAGGAAGGCAAGTTGTATAATCTCACAGTTTGCTGAGTTATAAGTTTTCCTGAACAATAAAGTTTTCAGTGACAATACAGACCACTTAAAAAATTTTCCACTAGGCCGGGACACTTGGGTGGCTCAGTGGGTTGAGCGTCTGCCTTTGGCTCAGGTGGTGATCCCAGGGTCTTAGGATCAAATCCGGCATCAGGCTCCCCCTCTGGTTCTCCCTCTGCCTTTGTCTCTGCCTCTTTCTTGGTCTCTCTTATGTACAAATAAATAAAATCTTAAAAAAAAATTTTTCCACTAGGCCTTTAAAATCTCCACGTTCTGATCTGTAATCTCTTAAAATATACAAAGAAAATTACATTTCTTATTTGTCAATGGAAAAAAGTAAGAGATAGACCAAGGAAATATGTATCTTAGAGGACTAGTTCTCAAACATTTCATGAGATTTTGAATAATATGAAGAATCTTATCAAAATATAGATTCTGATTCAGTAGGTCTAGGGTAGGCTTTGAAATTCTGTATTTCTAAAAAATTGCCAGATAATGCATTCACTGTTCTTGATCCTGAGCCACAGAATATTTTGAATAGCAAAATCTTAGAATGTACTTAACTCCTTGGCTTCAAGAATTACACAAGACACTAGGCAGACAGTTACACTCATTGCAAAGGTACCCAGTAGCAAAGGACTTTGAATGATCTACTTTGCCTCTTAAAGGCCAAAATGAAAGCCCCAAGAAACAGACATAGATTTACCACCATTTACCCTCAAAATACTTACCTTCTGCTACCCTACAAATGACCCAACACATACCTACCACTGTAATTACAAATGACACAGAGAAAATACTCTTAGGAAGTTATAGAACACATATTATCAGAAGAAAATACTTTTTTTTCCAGCCTATAGAAATGTTTACCCACAAACTTCTCTGAAGCATACCTTAAGCTTTCTGTATCAAATATAAACTGAATATAAACTGATGTATGTTATGCTCTTCTCATGTTAAGATTCCTCAATACTTACTATAAAATACATTAAAAATAAATAACTTAAAATTTTCAAAGTAGGATTCACATTATTATTTGAATAGGTAAAAAATTTACCTTTTTCTGGTTTTAAGAGAAATTTCTGTACTTGAAGGCAATATATTTACTGAATTTTCAGAAGTATAGGTCTCTCCCTTTTGGGCCACAGATGGAACAGCATTTTGCAATACAGAAGCTTTTGCATCCAAAAGAACTAAAGGTGAGCCAACAGATAAGTGAAATTTTTCACTGGCTTCACTGTGGTGATCTCTGAGTTTTTTACTTGACGTTCTTCTTAAGCCAGGTGTATTTTTAGAACCAACATCAGTTGCCAAAATTTCCTGATGAACTTCATGGTCTTGAGCTAGAAGAAAATTATATGAAGATATTAAAATTTTTCAAATATTAGAACAAAATGTGTTTTAAAATTCAATAGCAATAATTAGAAATAGTTTTCAGAAGACTCACAGTTCATTAAGTTTATAATCAAAGATCTATGATTAAAATATGTAAGTGCTTTACAAGTTCTAATTTATGAAATCAATGAATATAAAGATGTATTTGCTCCTTGCTCTTAAGTTTTGAAATGGCAAAAATTCTCAAACAGAAAATTCACAATTATATGGATAGTCAATTTACTCAAGATTTGAATAAATCTATACGCAGTTAAAATAATGAAGTAATGCTAGAGAAATTATGAGATTCGATTTTTTAGGTTAAAAGTCAGTAAACTATGGCAGCTAGATAACCACATATACAGATATATACACTTACAGACCCATAACAGATATATGCAGAGATATATAAGATTTGTGTGTAAATATATGTAAAGATACATATGTAAAAATATTTTTATATGTAAAAGAATATTTGTGTATATAATACATACACATACATATATACATGTACCTTTATATAAAGAGCATACATATTCTCTTAGCCTCATACCTTCAAATATCAAAGAAAAAGTAGAACTGCTGAGGAGTATTTGTACTGATTCACATTCTTACAAAGCAAAGATCAGGGGCACCTGGGTATCTCAGTTGGTTTAGCATTCACTCTTGATTTCAGCTCAGGTCATGATCTCAGGGTGGTGAGATCAAGTCCCGCATTTGGTTCAGCATATAGCGAAATCCGCTTGGGTTTCTCTCTCCTCCTCCCTCTGCCTCTCTCTCCCTGAACCCCATGCACTCTGCCTCTCTCCCTCTCAAAAATAAATTACTTAATTAATTTTTTTAAAAAGCAAAGATTAAAAATTTTAAATACAATCAAAAAACATCTTTTAGAAGGTTATGGAACAAGACAGTATACTCAGTTTTCTCTGCTTTTCCCTCTAAATACAACTAAACTAAATTCCTGGTAATTATCTATCCAACAACAATAACAGAACTCTAAAAGCTGGAAAGAAAAAGGTGTATTTGCTAGGAACCTCAAGCTTTAAGCAACAAAAGACAATATGGTGAATCCTTTAGGTTGTCCTTTTATCTCCCATATACCCCCCTAGACTGGATTCTAGAGGTATGCAACCCAGAACCACCAACAGGCATAGGGGAAAAAATCCTCCATTCTCTGGCCAAAAGACTTGAAGAAGGGAAACTCAACAAGGACCTCTAGCAGGGAGCCCCAACTCTTAATTCCACAACCTAACCCACTAAATACTCCATTCTATAGTGGCCTTGTAAAAGCAGGAAAGCCTCAGGCCATGCCAGGTCCCACTCTGTAAGTTATACAGGACAGCAGTAGTAAAAGAGCAAAGTCCTAGGCTAACCTTGTTCCTGGACCAACCCAGTCTCCACTTCAACAATCAAGGATAGCAGGCCAAATGATCCACAAATAGCTGCAGAGAAGTGAAACTTTTGACCTTCCCAGCCACTGCTGCACAGACCAAGGTGACATTTTGAACCACTGTTAGTATCAACAACCGAGGCCTTACTTCACATGGGGGGCCTCTATGGGCAGTCTAACCTGAGGCAGGAAGAACTTAAGAAAACCCTACACCCCCCCATCTTGTCCTCTACCCAGTCATTTAAGAAGATCCAATCTCAATAGTTTCTCACCCCAACCCTCACTTGAGTGAATAAAGACATGGGGTACTCTGAAACATCTTCCATTCATCTGACACAGCACCTCCAAGAACTGAGCGGGAATCTCAGCAGCATCAGGAAATGAAACAGACCAAAATATCACTGTTAGGATTCTAAACACTTAACTGCCACTGGAAATAAAATCCACAGAAGCAAGCAATAACCTACACATTAAACCAAAACAAGGCAACTGTATACTATAACAAAAGATTTAAATAGAATCGAGAGTTTCCTAAAATATTAACCGAAATGTCAAGAATACAATCAAAATGATGGAGCATACCAAAACTCAGAAAAGCACAACCTGAACAAGAAAAATATGATCAATGGGCACAAATAAACAAGATGAATCAAATGTTAAAATTATTTAATAAGAATTTTAAAATATCCATCATAAAAATGTTTTAACAATCAACTACAAACTCTCCTGAAACAAATAAAAAGACAAACTCTCAAAAAAATGAGTTACAAAGAACCAGGGATCCCAGGGTGGCGCAGCGGTTTGGCGCTTGCCTTTGGCTCAGGGCGCAGTCCTGGAGACCCGGGATCGAATCCCATATCGGGCTCCCGGTGCATGGAGCCTGCTTCTCCCTCTGCCTGTGTCTCTGCCTCTCTCTCTCTCTCTCTCTCTCTCTCTCTCTGTGACTATCATAAATAAATAAATTAAAAAAAAAAAAGAAGAAGAACCAGGTTTTTGGATTTTGGATTTTAGCCATTCTTACAGTGTGCAGTGGTATCTAATTATTAATTTAAAATTCCCTAATGACAAAAAAAAATTCCTAATAACAATGATGAACAAATCAAAATCACAATGAGATACAACTTCATACCCACTAGGATGGCTATTATCAACAAAACACACACATGCAAAAAAAAAAAAAAAGTATTGTTGAAGATATGGAGCAACTGGAACCCTTATACACTGCTGGTGGAAATGTAGAAACGATGCAGCCACTATAAAAAACAGTTTAGTGGTTCCCCTAAAAGTTAAAAATACAATTACTGTATGATCCAATAATTTCTTTTTTGAGTATGTCTCCAAAAGAATTGAAAGCAGAGACTGCAAGAGGTATCTGTACACTTGCATTCACAGCAGTGAATAAGCAAAAAGTGGAAACTGCCAAAATATTCATCAGTGGATAAATGAACAAAACAAAATGTAGTCATGGGTGGATCTAGAAAGTATAATACTAAGTAAATAAATCAGAGAAAGACAAAATACTCTATGATTTCACTCATATCTGAAATTTAAGAAACAAATGAACGTATGGGGGGGAAAGGGGAGAGAGAGGAAAACCAAGAAATAGACTCTTAACTATAGAGAACAAATTGATGGTCACCAGAGGGGATGTGGGTTGGGGGATGGGTGAAATAGGTGATGGGGATTTGATGGGCACCAGGTATTGTATGGAATTGTTGAATCACTATATTATATATCTGAAACTAATACTACACTGTATGTTAACAAACTGGAATTTAAATAAAAACTTAAAAAAAAAAAAAGATGAAAATCTAAGACTCTACTCTACCATTAGAATAAGATAGACCGGGATCCCTGGGTGGCGCAGCGGTTTGGCGCCTGCCTTTGGCCCAGGGCACGATCCTGGAGACCCAGGATCAAATCCCACGTCGGGCTCCCGGAGCATGGAGCCTGCTTCTCCCTCTGCCTATGTCTCTGCCTCTCTGCCTCTCTCTCTCTCTCTCTCTCTGAGTGACTATCATAAATAAATAAAAAATTAAAAAAAAAAAAACAAAAAGAATAAGATAGACCTTTTAACCAAAACAAGAAGGTCAAAAACTATAGAAGTCACAAATTTGACAATTAAAATTAAAAATCTTACTCACCATATGGTTTAAGATACTATAAAACAAAATCTGTAAAAGTCAAGGGATCATTGGAAAGGCAAACACCTCTCACACAAATCAACAGATACAGATACTCAACTCAAAGACCTCTCATTAACAAGAAAAAACTAACGTGAAAGGATATGAATAGCCAACTCAGATAAAAGGAAATTCAAATAGCCAATAAATAAATTAAAAAGTACTCAAATGCAATTGATATCACAGATATCTTTTTTAAAAAATATTTTAGTTATTTAACAGAGTGAAAGAGCAGAGAGCACAAGCAGGAAGAACAGCAGAGGGAGAGGGAGAAGCAGGCTCCCCGCTGAGCAGGGAGCCCAATGTGGGGCTTGATCCCAGGATGCTGGGATCATGATCTGAGCCAAGAGCAGACACTCAACCAACTGAGCCACTCAGGCACTCCCTGGATATCACAGATATTTTAGAGGGACAATGAGATCATGTAATACCAATCAAACTGGCAAAAAAAAAAAAAAAAAAAAGCAAATGATCTATCAGGTAAAAAGTACTTTCCCACATTGCTAGTGTAAAAAAAATTGTACAACCTCTTCTGTGCACACACACATACATTTATATATGTTTTCATTCAAAGGTTACCTCAGCAGGACAATGGAAATAACAATTAGTAGCTTTACTTTTTTAATCTTTGAGGCTTACTTCAAATGAGCAAAATTTTTCTGATTTGAAAAAATGTAAACCAACTTTTAAAAGTTGCAGCACATATATTTAATAAAAGGAAATGAACAAAAGAATAAAAAAAGAACACTAACCATGTATACACAAATATTGAATGTTATATACTTGAAGCTAACATGTTACATGTCACATATCTCAATTAAAAAAAAATATGTTGGGATCCCTGGGTGGCGCAGCGGTTTGGCGCCTGCCTTTGGCCCAGGGCGCGATCCTGGAGACCCGGGATCGAATCCCACGTCAGGCTCCCTGCATGGAGCCTGCTTCTCCCTCTGCCTGTGTCTCTGCCTCTCTCTCTGTGATGACTATCATAAATAAATAAAATTTAAAAAAAAAATGCTCAAGAAGCCCATGAAAAGGTCCATGTGAGAAGGAATTAAGACTTCCTGCCTGCATAGCCCCACATGAGTCATCTTGGAAATATATCCCTATCCCCCATTAAGCCTTCAGATGACTGCAACACTGACCAACATCTTGACTGACACCTCATGAAAAATTTCAAGCCAGAACCATTTATCTAAGCTGCTTCTCAATTCCTGACCCATAGATGTGTGATTTAATATTCATTGGTTTATTCTTGGATTAATTCATTTATTCATTGGGAGAGGGGAGGGAGACTAATCTATTTGAAAAGTCTTAAAACTATAGTCTATGCAATAATTTTTATTTAATGTCTCTTACCATATACTAATAATCAATGTTCTTACCACTTTAATGTCTCTTACCATATACTAATAATCAATGTTCTTACCACTAAAACAAAGGAATACTCAAAGCGTATTACTCGTGTTTAAAAAAACAAAACAAAACACTGACCACTCTGTCTACACTGACCCGTGAACCTATCACTCAAGCCAACACACGTGACACCTTCAAAATCTCCTTTTAAATGTCTAAGCAAATAACATCCATGGAGATGCCACCAACCTGATCTGTTGACACCTTCACTTTCTTTCTTCCTTGAAGAAACTGGAACTGACTTCAGATGAGATTTCTGGCACTGAGCCTAAGAGATAGACACCATTAGATCTAATAAAAATTAGTAATTCTGATTAAATACATTTGTTTTTTAAATTGGAAAAAAAGCAAGTATTTAAAAACAATAAACCAGCTGGTAGAGTTGTATACTTAAGTAACTACTTTAGAAAACAATGTGGAAGAAGAAAGAAAGAAAGAAAGAGAAAGAAAGAAAGAAAGAAAGAAAGAAAGAAAGAAAGAAAGAAAGAAAGAAAGAAAGAAAAGAAAAGAAGAAAGAAAAGAAAAGAAAAGAAAAGAAAAGAAAAGAAAAGAAAGAACAAACAAACAATGTGGCATTATCTAGTAAAGTTGAAATTTCAAATAACCTAACACAGAAACAATGCTGCTCTGGATAACAAAGAACTATTCTGATAGTAAACTGGGTAAATTATGGTATAGTCCTGTAACATCACACATTCAACAATGAAATGACTAAGACACAGCAATAAGAATAAATGACAGTTAACCACGAAAAAAAAAATCAGGTCATAGAAGTATGTCACAGTCCTATTTACATAAAGTTCAAAGTAGATACATGTGAAACTATATATATATATATATATATATATATATATATACACACATACATATATTTATATATATACATATATTTTAGAGATTCACTCAATGGAGGAATTAACATAGCAGGCCTGATCATTTAAAGCAGCTCACAGGGCAGTCCTTGGTTGGCAACTGGGGACTTGGCTTTCAGAATGTTTCCCCCATTACCAAATGATAAGGTTGTGCCTACTAGGCAGCTGCTTAGACTGTATAAAAATGTGATTTACAGTGAACATCTGCTTTTTTTTCTTCAGAGAGAACAGGATTTGGGTGGGCAGAGAGTGCCTATGTAACCAGTCCCGAATAAAAATGGGGTAAGCCTCAGAAAGCTTCCCTGGGCAGAAAGACTGTACACATTTCACTGCTGGAAGCAACACGTTTTCTGTGATCCCCACAGGTACCCTTGACATGGTTCCTCCAGACTGCTTGGTGTGTCTTTTTCCTTTCCCGATCTGGCTGTATATCCTCACTATATGCCTATAATAAATCTCAGTCACAAGTACAACTATACGATGAGTTTCAGGAGTCCTTCTAGTGAAGCACCAACATGTGGATGATAATGGGACCTGTCGACCTGTCAGAGGTAGGGGAGAAAGTGCTGAACAAATGTCAGCAACACACCCATTATGTGGTAAAATTATAAAATAAAGGAGGGGAATGATGAACAGAAAATTCAAGATAGTGGTTACCTCTGTGCAGGGAGGAGAGGTTGAAGAACAGGATCAGAAAGGGACACACTGATGCTGAAGTATGGATATTTCTTACATTGAGGGATGGGTACGTAAGTGTTCATTTATATTATTTTTAATGCTTTACATAATGCATATTTTCTTTTGTAAATCTGAAATAAATCGTCATAAATTTTAAAAATCTAGAAAAGGGAAATCTCATTCATATATTGCATATGGGGGAAAAAAACTGGTAAAGCATCTTGCAGAAAAAACTGAAAATATTTAACAATTTTTTTTCTAAGATTTTATTTATTTATTCATGAGAGACACAGAGAGAGAGGCAGAGGGCAGGCTTCATGCAGGAAGCCCGATGTGGGACTCAATCCTAGGTCTCCAGGATTACGCCCTGGGCCTAAGGCAGGCGCTCAACCACTGAGCCACCCAGGCGTCTCAATATTTAACAATTTCATTGAAACTGAAATGTGCATATCCTAGAAACTTCAGTTTACAACATGTGCATGAGGAGGCATGAACAAAAGATGCACATCACTACATCACTGTAATAATGAATTGATGGAAACAACCTAAAAATCTACCAATATGGAAATATATAAATGAGGAAGCCACTGCACTGCTGTTCAGTGAATATACTATGGAACTCAATTACATAAAGAAAACAAAAGCAAACTTTCACTATACTTTGTTCCTCTTAAAACCTCATTAGGATTTTTTAAAAATGTACAAACCCAGAAGTATGAAAAGAGAAGGGATTACATGGGACATGTCAACCAATTTTTCTTCAGTTGGAAAGCAGATCAGCAGCAAGTAATCAGTCCAGAGAGAGCAGAAACATGCTAGCAATGGAGAAAGCACAGGATACAGATTTATGTTTATGGAGAAACCCTTAAGACCATTAATTCAACATATAAGGCACCTCTAAAAGAGAGGTTCCAACTGGGACTTACAAACAGAAGAGTTGTTAAAAGTACGTATAGGAATCAGTCAGAGTCATAGTCTTTCCTTTCCCAACCCTGGCATATTAGATGTTTACTCTCTTGAGTCCCAGAATTGGAGAGCCTCTAGACTCAGACACAGCTGAAGGCAAGAGTAAAAACAGAGTTACTAAGTGAAAGCATTCAAAATGTACCTTCCCTCTGCCCCACCTGGCTGAGAAGATTTGTAGTTATCAGACTTCGAAGCAGGAGAGATTTGTCTGAAAAACCTATCAAGCCAAGTTTAAAAAGCCTGTAGATTATTATTAACACCTGGACATCTACAATGACATGGCCCAGACAGATCACAGCACAGTAAAATCTACCAAGGCACAAATTTTACTACAAAAACAGAACTTCCAACCACCATTTTAGGTTTCCACTCTTAAATATGAAGAGACCACTAAGATTCACTAGACAACTGAAAAAAAGGCTCTAGTATAAAAAGGCAACAAACAAGGTAAACAAAAAAAGGTACTTGCAGGAAACAAACTGTAAAAAGAAATCTTAATAAGAAGGGTTAAAGAAATCTAACATCAAGGAATATCATGAAATTTCAAGTAACTAAAAGCAGATGACAAGATCCTAAGATCCTAAAAGCCTGCAAGGATTAAAAAACAGTGACTCCCAAAGGATCAAGGAATCAGAATGGTACTTTCAACAGGAAGAGAAGCCTAAAAGAAAATAGAATATGCCTTTAAAAATCTGAGGGAAAATAGTTTCCAACTTAGAATTCTGTACTCACTCAAATTACCCATCATGCACATAAAATCACGGTATTTTCAAATTTTTAAGGTCTTAAATTATCAGGAAGCAACTAAATGAGGAGGACCACTAAAAACAGGGCAAGAAAAAAGGGAGTATTTGGAATCCAAGAAATATGAACTGCATTACTAGAGAAAAGAGAAGGGACTCTCTGGATAATAAAGGAAAATCACATGGCAACACCTATCTCACAGGCCTAAGGGTAGTCAAGAGCAAAAAACAAAGAGCAGAGAGATGTAGAAAGGACATTTCAGGAAAAAACTGAAAATGACAAATTACTCGAGTCTACATACACTAAGAAGATATTTATAATCTTGCCACAAAAACTCATGATAAATTAGAAACAGGTGCACAAACGGTTAAACACGCTATGGTACAACCACACCATAAAATATCACTCAACAATAAAAAGAAATAAATGACTGATACACACAAAAACCTGCATAAACTTCCTAAGAATTATCCTGAGTGGAAAAATCAATTTTAGAAAGTTATACACATATAACTCCATTTAACTAACATTCTCAAAATAACAAAATTGTAGAAATACAGATTAGAGGTTTCAGGGGTTAAGGAGGGGGTTAGGGCCAGAGAAAAGTAAGTGTTGCTATAGTGGTCCTGTAGTGATGGAATTGTTCCATACCTTGCCTGTATCAATGTCAGTACCCTGGTTGTGACACTCCAACTACAGTTTTGCAAGACCATTACCTTTAGAGGAATCTAGGTAAAAGTACATAGGTTTGCAACCCTTTATTTCTTATAGTGGCTTGTAAATCTATAATTATCTTAAAAGCTTAATTTTAAAAAGTTAATAGAGTTCCCAAAATCTTTCTATAGGGTAAAAAGAAACTTTATCTCCTTTTAGGCAGCTTGGATTGAAATGAACAGATTCCTACTCTCAAGGACTGAGCTGGGTCAGTCTGGGATGAAACTGTAGTGAGACTCAGTCTATTTGTAGTCTGCTCTGTTCTTCAGAATGAGGTCTTCTGGGAAACTGAGAGCCAGGAGAGTCACCTTAGAAATACTGGGAGACATTCAGTCTCATCCTCTGGGGGTTCTTGTTCAACTTTTTAGCCTCTTACTTCCAACTGCTTCAAAATATGGCAAATGCCTACTTGTGGTGGGACCTTTTCCTATGACAGGATTTTCCCTTCTTAGCATAGATAGACTATATATCTCACTCCATTTTTCTGGCCCAGGATTCTGCACCACCCCCAGAACTTACAATTGTTCTCTAAAGGAAAAGGGCCTAGCCATTTGGAATATCCCTGGGATCCAGCTTGCCATGCCATCCCAGCATAGCTGACAAAAGTGGTCCTTTCCCACAGTAGACTCTTTCTGTGTGAGCCAGCATAAAATCCTCAGTTTTTGCACCAAATGAGCCAATACTCTCAGGAAAGAAAATGACGGGATCCCTGGGTGGCGCAGCGGTTTGGCGCCTGCCTTTGGCCCAGGGCGCGATCCTGGAGACCCGGGATCGAATCCCACGTCGGGCTCCCGGTGCATGGAGCCTGCTTCTCCCTCTGCCTGTGTCTCTGCCTCTCTCTCTCTCATTCTATGTGACTATCTATATATCTATTCTATAAATAGAAATTTAAAAAAAAAAAAAAAAGGAAAGAAAATGACTAATAATCATCAACTTATCTTCCAGATTCTTCTCTTTGGAATTTTATCTAGCCTTTGTTCTTTCCATAGCTCTCCATGTCTCTAAAAATAGGATTTATTTGCATTTCATTCTTTTTCTTTAACCAACTTTTACAGAAGAAATGTTGGTCCACTGCAATCTGTCACATCCTACCTAGCAGTGAAACCTCTAGCATAACTTTCATACCAAAGCCCTACAAGAACATTCTGAGAAAATAAAAGATAATACTGTTCCTGAACATAGATGTAAATACCTCAAATATTAGCAAACCAAATCAAGAAAGGTTAATACTTTATGACCAAACCAAATACATCCCAGAAATTTTAAAGTTGATTCAACTGTTAAAAATCAGTATTATATAATTTACCACAAAGATCTCTCAATTCTGAAAGAACTGGATCTTCATGCAACCAAAGGCTATATAAAGTTGATCCGTGAACAAAGGCTTGAATAAGTGAGGATCCACTTATTCACAATTTTTTGTAATAAATGTAGTACTATAAATGTATTTCCTCTTCCTTATAACTTTCTTAACATTTTCTTTTCTCTAGCTCATTTATTTTTCTTTACAAGATGTATTTATCTATTTTAGAGACAGAGCAGGTGAGGGGTAGGGGAAGGGGACAGAGGATCTCAAGAAGATCCCGTGCTGAGCACAGAGCCCAATGTGGGGGTCAATCTCACAACTCTGAGATCACAACATGAGCCAAAACCAAGAGTCAGTCATTTAACCAATTGCACCACCCAAGTGCCTCTCTAGCTTACTTTACTCTAAGAATATAGTATATGATAGCTATATAACATACAAAATATGCATTAACTGTTTATGTTATCAGTAAAGTTTCTGGTCAATAGCAGACTATTAGTAGTTAAGTGTTTGGGGAGTCTAAAGTTGTACGTGGATTTTCAACTGCATTGGTGAGTTAGCAACCCTAACCTCTGTGTTGTTCAAGGATCAATTGTATAATTAAGTGTTTACAGAAATTTATAGTGAATGTTATTTATAGCACTACATATTTTTTCCCTCCAATTTGTACTGTACTTTTGAATAACATGTCTTTATTCATTAGCTTTACAAACTCTATTTGAAAGTTCGCTTTTTGTACAGTTAAGTCAACTTATCCTCTTAAAATATAATCTATAAAAGATTGATTCTCCTTATAGCAATAGAGTAACTTTGGTTCTCAGAAAATAACAAAATCTGCCACCTTGAATTGGGAACTTCAGCACTGCCCACTTTTCTAAAAATCTAATTTAACTACTATTTTAGGAGAGGTGAAAAATGATTGTGCTATGATTTGATAATTCTATACCCAGACCTCTGATTTCAAACACAGGAAACGTCAAGTCAAAACTTTCACAGAAGTGCAGCCCGGGTGGCTCAGCGGTTTAGCGCTGCCTTCAGCCCACGGTGTGATCCTGGAGACCTGGGATCAAGTCCCGCATTGGGCTCCCTGCATGGAGCCTGCTTCTCCCTCTGCCTGTGTCTGTGCCTCTCTCTCTCTCTGTCTCTCATGAATAAATAAATAAAATCGTAAAAAAAAAAAAAAGTTTGTCACAGAATCTCTCTAAATTGTAAAAAAGTCAATGGGAATATAGGATTCCCTTTTAAGAATAAGACTTACAAACAACTAAAATAGGAACAACTATATTGTGTAACACTTCATTCATTAAAATATTAAAGCTGTACTAGCTCTTTTTTCACTTACCTCTTTGCTTGGTGACTGAATACAAATGTCTCCTGTTTTAGGTGTTGAAAAAAGCACTGATTTTGTAGAGTTTGTGCTAAAATCATTAGCAAAACCTTTTAAAAAAGCAAAAAAAAAAATTTAATAAATATGCTATCAAATCTTTTGGTTACTACATGAAACGTGAAGAAGTTTGTTGACTCTTTAAGTACAATTAGTTAAAAATTAAGTACAGACATCATTTCAAGTGTTCCTAAAAGGTATCAGGAACTGAAAAAGGCAAACAACATTCCTGAAGAAATGTGTGCCAGCTCTTCAGAGCTTATATAAAATAAATATTTTTTTCACTATCTATGTCTGTTTCTTTGATCTATTATTTCAATACATTCTGATGCTGACCAGCACTTCAAAAAGTTTTTGTCATAATTCACTGTTTCTGTAGAAAGAACTGCAAATCATCAAATATTCTCTCTTAGGGATCCTAAGAACCCTGCACATTTATTCCCATTACATGAAATACTTCCTTTTTTGTATAATAATTATTTATGGACTCCCACAGTACAGGAATCTAGTGTGAACTAAAAGAAATGACAAATTATTCTCATGTTTGTATTATAACAAAAGGTACATAAAGGATTGCTCGTGTACTCAAAATTTCTGGGAAAATATTTTACTTATATTTAAATGTTAGAAGAACACACTTGCTGAATTTAGTATCAATACGACAAATTTATATTTTCATCCAACCCAACCATCAAATTCCAACTCGAAGACACCTTACTTTTTTCTTCAAAACAGTCTTGTAAGATTTCCAGTATGTTCTGGCCTTCCTTCGTATTAATGGCAGGGGCTCTAATAAAAGAAGAAATGAAGGGAAAATGTTACACATCATTTCCAGAAGATATGTGCTATTTGTGTTACCATCTACTTTGAAAATTTCATATCTCATTATAAAATGCTATTTTACTTAATGGAAAAATATCATCTTTACTATCTAAGGACAAAACAAGTATTTGAGAGTCCAAGAGTTTCCAGAAAAATATCTGAAAGCAGTATGTCATTATCTCCATTAACAATTAGATTCCTTGTTATCTAGGAAGGAGCCACATCTAAAGCCATTTTAGACTACTACTATATCTAAAGAATATAAATTTTTTGTAACAAATTTAATCAGTACTAAAACACTTCTTTAAGAAAAACTCTCTGGGGGCACTTGGGTGGCTCAGTGGTTGACTGTTTGCCTTTGGCTCAGGTCCCTCCCCCACTGGGAGCCGGCTTCTCCCTCTGCCTATGTCTCTGCCTCTTTGTATCTCTCAATATTAAATATTTTAAAAATAAAAATTAAAAAAAAAACCTCTGTTCATTGGTCCTAACAGTTCCAAGTAACAGTCTTCCCTTCAAGTTCTCAAATGTACTTTTGATTTAATATTATTAACCTTAACAGAAGCTTATGAATCAGTATAAAATTTTAATTGTAGTTTCACATGCAATTGTAAGAAATAATATAGAGGAAATCTCTTGTTCACTTTATTTAGTTTCCCCCAGTGGTAACATTTTTTAAAACTATACTATACTACCATAACCAGGACACTGGTATCAATACAATCTACTAATCTTATTTAGATTTCTCCAGGTCGGGATCCCTGGGTGGCGCAGCGGTTTAGCGCCTGCCTTTGGCCCGGGGCACGATCCTGGAGACCCGGGATCGAATCCCACGTCGGGCTCCCGGTGCATGGAGCCTGCTTCTCCCTCTGCCTGTGTCTCTGCCTCTCTCTCTCATTCTGTGTGACTATCATAAATAAATAAAAATTAAAAAAAATAAAAAAAAAATAAAAAAAAAAAAAGATTTCTCCAGGTCTACATATACAGTTGACCCTTGAACAATACGGGTTTGAACTGCATGGGTCCACTCATAGATTTTTTTTCAGTAAACATAAAACAGCACAATTTTTTGGAGATTTGCAACAATTTGAAAAAACCCAGAGATGAACCACACAACCTATGAATATGAAAAAAATTTAACAAAAAGTTAGGTATGTCATGAATGCATAAAATACATGTATATACTAGTCTATTTTATCATTTACTACCATAAAATACGAATCTATTATTAGAAATCAAAATTTATCAAAATTTAGACACACAGAACATACATGGTGCTATTTGTAGTCAAGAGATATAAACAAATGCAAAGATACAGTATTAAATCATAACTGTACAAAATTAACTGTAGAGCATGCCATACTACTGTAATAATTTTATTGCTACTATTGCCTGCTGCTATTGTGGTGAGCTCAAGTATTAGTGAGAATCCCCTTAAAATGTCATCTAACACTAATCATCTCTGAGGGTTCATCTTCTCCAATAAATCATGTATTGCAGTAAAAAGTGATCTCTCGCAGTTCTCCCAGTTTTCATTATGTTTAGTCCATTACCATAAACCCTAAATAACACATGGGGATCCAATGAGGTACCACAAGTGATGCTGGAAGTGCTCTCAAGAAACAGAGAGATGTCATGACATTACAAGAAAAAGCTGAATTACTTGACATATACCATAGACTGAAGTCTGCAGCTGTGGTTGCCTACCATTTCAAGATAAATAAATACAGCATAAGGACTATTGTAAAAAAAGAAAAGGAAATTTGTGAAGTTATCTTTGCAGCTGTACCAGCAGGTACAAAACCTTGCATTTTGAAAAATATCTTTCTATCTTATACTGAAAATGCAGCTTTTATGTGGAAGGTGTAAAGACTCTATAATGGTTTGAGAAAAAACAAAGACTATTATGACAACTTAAAGCAAAAGGAAGGTGAAGGATCTAAAGCTGGAGAATTTAATGCCAGCAAAGGATGATTTGACAATTCAGAATGGAAGTTGGCTTTAAAAAAGTTAAAATAACAGGAAAAGAACCTTCTGCCGAACAAGAGGCAGCAGACAAGTTCCCAAATGCCACAGCTCAGGTCATAACCTGAGGGTCGTAAGATTGAGTCCTGCACCACTGCACGAAGTGTGGAGTCTGCTTAAGATTCTGTCTTGCTGCACTGGGTGGGGCAATGGTTGAGTGTCTGCCTTTGGCTCAGGTTGTGATCCTGGGGTCTTGGGATCAAGTCCCACACAGCCTCCCTGGAGGGAGTCACCTTCTCCCTCTGCCTATGTCTCTGCCTCTCTCTGTATGTCTCTCATGAATAAATGCCTAAAATCTTAAAAAAAAAAAAAAAAAAAAAGTTCTCTCTCTCCCCCTCTGCCTATCCACTGCCCCCACCACTGTCGCACTCTCAAAAAAAAAAAAAAAAAATCACTGAAGAGGCACCTGGATAGTCAGTTGGTTGGGCATCCAACTTTTGATTTTAGCTCAGGTTATGATCTCAGGGTCTTAGGATTCAGCCCTGTATCAGGCTCACTGCTCAACAGCGAGTCTGCTTATCTCCCACTCTCTGCCCCTCCTCCTGCTCATGCTTTCTCTCTCTCCCTCCCTCTAAAACAAACAAATCTATTTAAAAAAAAAAAAAAAGGAAATCACTGAGAAAATACATCCGCTTAAACATTTTAATGCAGAGAAAACTGTCCTATTCTAGAAAAAAAAAATGCCACAAAGGACATTTATTAGTAAGAAAAAGAAGCAAGCACCAGGATTTAAGAGAAAGAAGGATAGGCTAACTGTACTGTTTTGTGCAAACGCATTCAGGTTTATAATCAGGACTATCTACAAAGCTGCCAAACCCCAGTTTTAAAGGGAAAAGATAAACACCAGCTGCCAGATTTGGGGTTGTACTATACCAAGATAGCTGGGCAATAAGAAGCCTTCTTCTGGACTGGTTATATCCATGCTTTGTCCCTAAAGTCATTAAGTACTCTGCCAGTAAGGGACTATCTTTTAAAGTTCTGATATTGAACCATGTCACTGGCCACCCAGAACCCCAGGAGTTCAACACTGAAGGGGAGTCAAAATGGTATACTTGCCCCCAACATGATGTGTCTAATTCAGCCTCTAGATTAGGGAGTCATAGGGCCTTTAAGACTCACTACACATGGTTCTCTAGGGAAAAGACTATCAACGCAATGGAACAGAAACCCAACAGAGAGATTATGAAAGTCTGGAAGGATTACAGCATTGAAGATACCATTATTGTTATAGAAAACACTATGAAAACCATCAAGCCCAAAGCAACAAATTCCTATTGGAGAAAACTGTGTGCAGATGTTGTACATGACCTCACAGGATTTATGACAGAGCCAGTCAAGAAAATCAAGAAAGAGATGGTGGATATGGGGGAAAAGGAAGGAAGGAAGGAAGGAAGGAAGGAGGAAGGGAGGAGGAAGGGAGGGGGGGAGGGAGGGAGGGAGGGAGAGAGGAGAGAGAGAGGAGAGAGGAAGGAAGAAAGAAAGAAAGAAAGAAAAGAAAGAAGAAAGAAAAGAAAGAAAGAAAGAAAAAGAAAAGAAAAAAAGAAAAAGAAAAAGAAAAAGAAAAAGAAAAAGAAAAGAAAAAGAAAAGAAAAGAAAAGAAAAGAAAAGAAAAGAAAAGAAAAGAAAAGAAAAGAAAAAAGGGATCCCTGGGTGGCGCAGCGGTTTGGCGCCTGCCTTTGGCCCAGGGCGTGATCCTGGAGACCCGGGATGGAATCCCACATCGGGCTCCCGGTGCATGGAGCCTGCTTCTCCCTCTGCCTGTGTCTCTGCCTCTCTCTCTTTCTCTCTCTGTGACTATCATAAATAAATAAAATGAAATGAAATGAAAAGAAAAGAAAAGAAAAGAAAAGAAAAGAAAAGAAAAGAAAAGAAAAGAAAAGAAAAGAAAAAAGAAAAAGGTGGGAGGTGAAGGGTTTTAAGATAAGGATCTTGGAGAAATTCAAGAGCTAATAGATATTACACCAGAGGAATCAAAAGAAGATGACTTTATGGATATCAGCACTTCTAAACCAGTACCAAAAGGTGTAGCAGAAGATGTAGAAGCACTGCCACAAAACAAATTGACATTAGACAATCTGATAGACGGTTCCAATTATTCAAAACTGCTTTTGACTTCTTTTATGACATAGATCTTCTATGATACAGGAATACAGACACTCAAGGTAAACAGCAGGACTGGTACCATATAAAACCAATTTTAGAGAAATTAAAAAGCAAAAGTCAGATAGAAATTACGATGTATTTGCATAAAGTTATACCAAGTATGCCGGCCTCTCCTGCCTCCCCTTTTACCTCGTCCACCTCTTCTGCTTCGGCCACACCTGAAACAAGAAGATCATCTCAACTCTTTCTCCTTCTCCTCAGCCTACTCAATATGAAGAAGATGAGGATGAAGATCTTTATGATGATCCACTTCCACTTAATGAATAGTAAATAATCAGCATGCCATATAATTAAAATAAACTGTATATGTGTCTTCATGTGACATCTTGTAACTATATAGCAAGAAATGTATGAAGCATTTTATGTAATTGTCATCATCATGGTCTAAGTATTTGTTGTGTAGAACATCATGCACAAAACTGCATGGAAGTGGGTAGCCTATCCTTACGTAGGCATAAGGTGAATGATATTTAATATAAAATTAATCATGTTATCGTACTGACTTGCAACTTTCCTTTCAAAGAATTATATTACCATACAATATATCTCTCATTACAGGTAAGTGGTTTTATAAAAGTGTTAAGAATGTTTCCAACTCCATATCATACTCCATACTATAATACTGTATGCCATAAAAATTTCGTAACAATTCATTCATTAGTGTATAGACTAGGTTACCATGAAACAATCGTATCAATTATACCACACTACCATAAAGCAATCATACTGCTGCTTTTTTATCACTACCTACACTACTATACCTACTATAAATAAGAATTTCTTTTCCACATTTTTTCATATTTGATGTCTACTGCTAATAACATATATAACATCTACAGTATTTTGTACCTTGTAAGACTCTATGCACATAATGATATGCATATGCATTAATATGCACATGATAGATGATTCCTCTTGTAAACAGACAACATAAACTTGCAGCATCAATAGAGTGCAGTACTGTAAATGTATTTTCTCTTCCTTATGATTTTCTTAATAACATTTTCTATTTCCTAGCCTATTTTATTGTAGAATACAGTATATAATATACAGCATACAAAGTATGTGATGACTATTTATGTTATTGGTAAGGATTCCAGGCAACAGTAGGCTGTTAGAAGTTTTAGGGGAGTCAAAAATTATACAAGAATTTTCAACTGTGTAGGGGTCAGCAATCCTAACCCCTGAGTTGTTCAAGGGTCAACTGTATTCATTGTGTTTATGTTCATACTTAGTACTGTGCAACTGATCATATCTGTAGGTCCAGATATCACCATCAGTCAAGATCTGTACAGTTCCACACCACAAAGATTTTCTATTGCCCTTTTATAACGTACACCCACGTTTTCTTTTAGCCCTACCAAATAAGCTGCATCTTTGTAATACTACCATTCACGTCCACTTTATAGAGTGCTTTCCCCATGGTTGTCATTTAGTCAGAATTAAGACTGCTTCTTCCTGATCCATAATTTACCAGGTAAATTTCTGTCTTCTCACTGCCACTGGGGTCAATACACTGCCTGCATTAACATTTCTGTTAATAAAAAATCACTAAGTAGACTATACTTAATCAGTGGGCACAGAAATCATTATGCTAGACAGAAGTAATTTTTCCCTTCTTCATTTAAAAATTACTTTCTGAAAATGGAAATAAAAATGACCTTAAAAACTTAAATATACAGACGCCTGGGTGGCTCAGCAGTTGAACATCTGCCTTCCGCTCAGGTCATGATCCCAGATCAGGGATCGAGTCCCACATCTGGCTCCTTGCATGGAGCCTGCTTCTCCCTCTGCCTGTGTCTCTGCCTCTATCTTTCTCTGTGTCTCTCATGAAGAACTAAATAAAATCTTAAAAAAAAAAAAAAAAAGTTTAAATATATAACTCACCTGGAAGGTCGGCAAAATCTTCTTCTATAGTCATTTTTGAGATGATCCTAAAAGAAAAGTGAATCATCAAACTGGTGAAAATATATTCATTCAGCAAGTTTTGCCAAATGCCCATTATATTACTATAAAAAGGAATTTGGATCACCTCATATCCACTACTAAAAAAAAAAACAAAAAACAAAAAAACCTCTAATTAATACCTTCAAGAGAGTTTGAAATACTGAACTCATAAAACAAAAGTGGTATACTATAAACACTAAATAGAGACCAAGAAAAACTCTTAATAATTAAAAACACGATGGCTTAAAATTTTAAAAAGCAATAATTATGAAAAAGCTAAGGATATCTCTGGGAGAGGAAAAAAAACAGGACAAAAAATGAAGAGGAAGTGGAAAATGGAAAAAAGAATAAAACAAAGAAGATGCAAAAATCAGAAGGTCCAACTTCTGACCAATTGTTATTCCGGAATGAACAAAGAAAAAAGAGACATACTATGAGAAAATACACAAATTTCCTAAATCTATAGGGCATGAATAGATAGCATGATAAATTTACCAGGATCCATACCTAGGACATAATAGTGAAATTTCTGAAAAATTGAGAATAAAAAAAAATCCTAGAATGCTTCCAGAAAGAAAATCATTAACTCCAACAAGGAAACAACCCCATCACTGGGAACAACAGAAATGATAAAACACCTATATAGACACGCTGATTTGGGAAGTCAAGAACATATCTGAGATACTTAGGATCCTATCTTTTAATAGTAAAATCAATTCTAGTTGAAAATTGGGTAGTAATGGGATGAGCAGCACACTTTAAAATGTACTACCAATACCAAATATTTACTGAGCCTCACTTTTAGTTGGCCCAGTGTAATATAAATGACTCCACTGCACATAAACACTCTTTTAACCCCCTCACACTCTAACACCCTGAGCTGAGCCACCCTCCAGACTCCACTCAGGCTCAGACACTCAGCTCAGGCCACTGTAGCTTCCCATCTTTAGTAGGGACCCCCTACCAAGCTTGCTTGACCCCTCCTAAAGGCTTTTGGATTGAATTATTCAACAAGATGAAGACCTCTAGGGGCAGCCCCGATGGCGCAGCGGTTTGGCGCCGCCTGCAGCCCAGGGCGTGATCCTGGTGACTCCCGATGGAGTCCCACGTCGGGCTCTCTGTATGGTGCCTGCTTCTCCCTCTGCCTGTGCCTCTGCCTCTCTCTCTGTCTCTGTCTCTATGAATAAATAAATTAAAAAAAAAATCTTAAAAAGAAAAAAAAGATGAAGACCTCTATTATTAGATTTTTTTAAACCTGAGAGCAGAGATTTTGTATTAAGCTAGTTTATATTCCCAGCGCCTTGCCTAGTGCACTATACACCAAACACCTTTTTTTGATATGTTTTTGATATGCCAAATTAGTAAGATCGAAAACTTAGGAGATAAAAATGTCTTTCCTTGAAGGTGAGATATACAAGGATAATGATTATAGAAGGTTGACTAGAGGCATGAAGAACAAGAAATGCAGTCAGTATGAGAACTGAGACTAATTTCAAACAGTCTAAGCTTCTCAAATTCTGAAAAGCAACATCTCCAAGAAAGAAGAAATTCATAAAAGGCAAAGATCACACTGAAAAAATAAGTTTATTAACAATATCATTGATGCTATTACTATTAATGGTAGATTTTAAATCCATGCCAACATTGATCCAAATAAAACACTGATCATAGTTTAAAAAAAATTAAAAAGGAGAATGAGGAGAACCCTGGGTGGCGCAGCGGTTTAGCGCCTGCCTTTGGCCCAGGGCACGATCCTGGAGACCGGGGATCGAATCCCACATCGGGCTCCCGGTGCATGGAGCCTGCTTCTCCCTCTGCCTGTGTCTCTGCCTCTCTCTCTCTCTCTCTCTGTGACTATCGTAAATAAATAAAAATTTAAAAAAAAAAAAAAAAAAAAAAGGAGAATGAAAGGACAAGCAACAGGCTGGAAGAAAACACTTGCAGAGATCCCTGGGTGGCACAGCGGTTTGGCGCCTGCCTTTGGCCCAGGGCGCGATCCTGGAGATCCGGGATCGAATCCCACATCAGGCTCCCGGTGCATGGAGTCTGCTTCTCCCTCTGCCTGTGTCTCTGCCTCTCTCTCTCTCTCTCTCTCTCTCTCTCTCTCTGACTATCATAAATAAATAAATAAATAAATAAGTAAATAAATAAATAAATAAAACACTTGCAAAAGACACATCTGATAAGGACTATTATCCAAAATATAGGAAGGATGTTTAAAACTCAACAATAAGAAAACAAACAACCCAAATTAAAAAAAACAAATGAGCCAAAGACCTTATGCCACATGTAAGAAGATGTACAGATGTGGAGAAAAGATGCTCCACATCATGTCATCAGGCAAAAGCAAAATAAAACAATGAGATACCACTAATACCTAATACCTATTAGAATGCCCAAAATCTGGAACACTGACAACTCCAAATGCTGGAAAGGATATGGCACAACAGAAACTTACTTATTTTTGAATGCAAAATAGTACAGCCACTTTGGAAGATAGTTTGGTACTTTTTACAAAACTAAACAGACTCTTACCATGACTTAGAAATCGTCTTAGAAATACTTAGAAATAACTGCTTGGTATTTACCCAGATGAGTTGTCCACACAACAGTTGTCTATACAACAATCTGCACACGGATGTTTACTGCAGCCTTACTTATAAATGCCAGAACTTAAAAGCAACCAGATGTCCTTCACTAGGTGAATGGATAAAGCATGGCACATCGAGACAATGGAATATTATTCATCACTAAAAAATGAACTGGGCAGCCCAGGTGGCTCAGCAGTTTAGCGCCGTTTTCAGCCCAGGGTGTGATCCTGGAGACCAGGGATCAAATCCCACGTCACGCTCCCTGCATAGACCTGCTTCTCCTTCTGCCTGTGTCTCTGCGCGCTCGCTCGCTTTCTTTCTCTCTCTCTCTCTCTCCCCGTGTCTCTCATGAATAAATAAAATCTTAAAAAAAAAAAAATGAACTACCAAGCCATGAAAAGACATAAAGGAACCTTAAATGTATAATGAAAGAAGTCGATTCCAACTATATGACATTCCGGAAAAAGCAAAATTATCAAGTTGGTAAAAAGATCAGTGGTTACCAGAGCTGTGCCGGGAGGGAAAGTAGGTAGAACACAAAGGATATACAGGGCAGTGAAAACACTATCTGATACCATAATGATATACACAAATCATTAAATTTTTGTCCAAACCCACAAAACGTACAACACCAAGACGGACTTTGGGCAATAATGATTTGTCAATGTAGTTTCATCAATTGTAATAAATGTACCACTTTAGTGGGGGATACTGAGAATAGGCTATGCATGTGTCCAGGTGAGTGGGTCTGGAAAATCTCTGTTACCTTCCTCTTAGTTTTACTAAGAACCTAAGACTGCTCTAAAAAAAAATAAAACTTAAAAAAAAAAAAAAAAATAGGAACCGTGGGCATTTGGTAAATTGTATTCCCCTCCTCTTCCTCCAATAAAAATGGCTTTATTCTTTAAAACTCCACCTAGGGATCCCTGGGTGGCGCAGTGGTTTGGCGCCTGCCTTAGACCCAGGGCGCGATCCTGGAGACCCGGGATCGAATCCCACGTCGGGCTCCCGGTGCATGGAGCCTGCTTCTCCCTCTGCCTGTGTCTCTGCCTCTCTCTCTCTCTCTCTCTCTGTGTGACTATCATAAATAAATAAAAATTAAAAAAAAAATTAAAACTCCACCTAATGTAAACAATGTTCATGTGCTCACAGTAAAAAGTACCCTCTACAGGATCCTTTCATGCATCTTCATGCATACAAGCATACAACTTTACATAAATGGGGGGGATCACGGACGAAGATTTTCTTAAAAGGAGAGACAAAGGAGAAAATACACTAGGACAGGGGCTGCTATGGGTTGTAAAATACATAGTAACCACAGGCAAAGTGTGATAGATACAGAATAGTGAATACCAAACGGAGTGCGGAAACCAACAAAAACCGGGTGCCCCTCTAGTTCACTCCCACCTTAAGCACCTCTTCAAGAGTTGCCTTTTGGAAAACTGTATCAGTGACATAACTCACAAATAATCTGCTCCTGCAGACCAGGAAGTCCAGACTTTTGAGGTATCCCAATACTTGTATGGACAGAAAATTATCTGGAGGGCTAAGAAGTAGAGTTAAGCCAAAAACAAAAAACAAAAACAAAAACAAAAAACGGGGTGGGGTGGGGGGAACCACAAAATTCTCTGAAGAGAAAGATGCCATCACAACCAAAATTAAAAGATATTTTTAGGGCAGTCCAGGTGGTGGCACAGCGGTTGAGCGCCTGCCTCAGGCCCAGGGTGTGATCCTGGAGACCCGGGATCGAGTCCCGCGTCGGGCTTCCTGCGTGGCGCCTGCTTCTCCCTCAGCCTGTGTCTCTGCCTCTCTCATGAATAATAAAATTAAAAAAAAAAAAAAGACATTTTGAGGAAACACATACAAGGAAATTAACTCCAAGGAGCCACAGCAGCTAGCTGCTCGACGTCTGGGGGTCCCCCGCCCGGAGCGACCCAGTTCCCGTTCGCCAGAAGCAGGGGCCTGCACTTACCAGACCCGACGCGGCAGCCATGTTCCCCCTCGGCCCCGGGGTGGGGCGGGCGTCCCCGCGGGCCGGGACTCCCAAGAAGCCGGGCGCTGACCGGTCACAGCGAGAGCGGCGGGACCGCGCCCCAGGAGCGGCCGTAAGGTGGGAGGTGGCAAGACCGAGGGAACCGCGACAGGCAAGCGCGCTACCGACACGCCTCAGCCATTGGCTCGGCCCTTCAGGAGCGCGGTACCCAGCAGCCTCCGCAGTTTGAAACGGTCTGCACATGCGCAGACGGGCCGCACCGCCCGCGGCGCAGCCGTTGAGGGCCCGCCCGTCGCCGGTCGTCCCTGCAGCCCCGCCCCTCGCAGGCCCACGGAGTCGGCGCCGGGGCCGGCGGAGCGGGAAGCTGCGGTTTTCCTGGGCAGGACGGTCTCCACAGCAGCCTTTGTTTGCCCTTGAGCCCGCCGAGAAGCCCGGGGAGGGCTCTGGTTCGGAGTGAGAATAATACCTGCGAGGAGAAGAGCTGCTCACAGAGAGATGAGTAAAGTACTTCCCTGCGCAGACGCGCCGGCCCCCGCCAGCGCCTGGGTGGCTCAGGGGCTGGGCGTCGGCCTGCGGCGCGGGGCGGGTCCTGGGCGCGGGATCGAGGCCCTCCCCGGGCGCCCTGCGTGCAGCGCGCTTTACGTGAGGCCTTTTTTGAAAAGTAATAATAATATAATGATGACGACGATGTGTTTTTTTTCCCCCCCAAATAAGTGGGTAATATTTTCTCACGAAGCATTGGCAAAAAGCGACCTGGGTGAATACTATGTCATTTAGGTATAATGCCTGGAAATCAGCCCTAATTAAGACACTTGGCATCCACTCCGCCATCTGTTACGTCATCTAGGGCACTTGTGGCGCCGTTCTAAGTGTCTCCTTAGTGACATAGGATGCTCCGAAGACTTGGCTGTTCCATGATTCTATAAAACTTGTGTTCTGTTTTGGGGACTTAATAAAAACTCGCGTGGGAATTTTAGACAAACTACTTATTAACTCAATCGAGAGTTGAGCTAATAGAGTTTTTCGACTTGTGATGATTTGACAAATGTTATCTCACCTGCTAAGTTTTTTTTTTTTAAGGGTTTTTATTTATTTTTGGTAGGGGAGAGAGGTTATATGTTAACTCTGAGATCAGACTGGGTTCCAATCTACTCCACTGATTCTGCCATTGTGGACAAGTTAAACTCTCTCAAGTCCCCTATGTGTGTGTGTGTGAGAGAGAGAGAGAGAAATACTGGATTAATTCCTTTTAATATCCAGATGAAATGCCTGGAATATAGTAAGAATTCAATGAATAATAAAAAAAAAGAATTCAGGGATCCCTGGGTGGCGCAGCGGTTTGGCGCCTGCCTTTGGCCCAGGGCGCGATCCTGGAGACCCGGGATCGAGTCCCACGTCGGGCTCCCGGTGCATGGAGCCTGCTTCTCCCTCTGCCTGTGTCTCTGCATCTCTCTCCCTCTCTCTCTGTGTGACTATCATAAATAAATAAAAATTTAAAAAAAAGGAGTCTTCATGTTCTGTCTCCCTTTAAAAAAAAAAAAAAAAGAATTCAATGAATAATGCCTGGTGTCATTATGGAGTTTTTTATTTGATCTAGCAGAAGTTTTGCCAGTCAGACTACAGAATATAATTTTGGTGTTGTCATATTTGGAATAGATTATAATAAAAACTTTCATGTATTCAGTTCACATTATATGCCAATATTTTTTTCTTTTCTTTTTTTTTCTTTTTTTTTTTTTTTAATGCTCTCCATGCAGTAACATTTCTTAGGACATTCCTATTACGAGAAGACAACTAATATCCCCATTTTACAGGCAGAGCCGGGACAGTGCTTAAGTAACCTGCTCCAAATTGAAATACGATTCCAGGACACAACTGGGGATGAACGCTGGTATTCTGACTCTAGAACTGAGCACTTAATCACTCTACTCTTTTTATCTCTGAGTGAGAAATTTTAGCAATTTTTGCTAAATAATTAGCAAAATTATTTGCTAAATAATAATCACAGATAGAAAAGTTCCACCTGTAAAATGATGCTCCCTGTTTCCACTGGAAACAGTAACTCTCAGAGGTATTTTGAGAAACATGATACAGTGTAAAATGCAGTGCACAAAGGGTGTTGGTGATGAACTGGTCTGTCCTACAGAGAAAATGGAGCAGCACCTTTATGAAAACCAAAGTTATGGAGACTCCACCATTCCTAAACAAACTTTGTAGCTCTCTCTGCATTTGTCCCACTATCTAATAGCTTCACCATGTTTTTAGCATCCAAAAAATAAGGTTGCTAGTTGAATGACTAATATTTATAAAACCCAGCTTTGTCATTATAGGCTCCCTGCCTCCCCAAAATACTTCCAGATCACTCCTTCAGAACCTCTATGGCAACTGACTAAATCTTGAAGTTTTTCATCACAACTACGTAAGCTAAGTAAGGAGTGTGTGTGTGTGTGTGTGTGTGTGTGTGTGTGTGTCTATGGAAGTATGTATATTAGTTGTGTAGATGGGAAATAAAGTATCCAGAAACTTGAAAGGCAGTAGAAACTTTTAGGTACTTAGGATTTTATGTAGATAATTTTAAATTAGTAATTATTAAAACTATTTTAAAGAATATCTTAGACCGTAAAAATGGCACTCTAAAAATTAATTTGTTCTAGAAATCCTAACACAATTGCTATTAAAACTTAAAATTTGCTTTACTCATAGTAAACCCAAACTGGTAATATGCCCATCAACTGGTAAATAAACAAATTAGAGTACATCTATATAGCAGAATATTCCTCAGCAATAAAAACAAGTTGCTGATACATGCGACAACTCGAATGAATCTCAAAAGCATTACACTACGTAAAAGAAGCCAGACATCAAAGACAAACTGCTGTATGATACACACATTTGTGTGACTACATAAAACTGCAAACTTTTCATAGTAAAGTGATAGGGCAAAGTGGCATTAATAAAATTGCAGATGTTCTCAGAATTTTTGCATAAAAATTATTCCACAAAAGTCAAAAGTACAAGTTAGCTAATTAAGAAAATTTTGTCAGAAAAAAATTACACTCCAAAAATCAATTTGTAAAAATTATAGACGTTGCAATTATAACTTTTAAAATTTGCTAAGGTGAAATAAACGTATTTATTTATTGAAGTGTATTTTTAATATAACATTTCAATTTTTAAAAGTCTTTATTGTCAAATGTTATTGCATGTGTTAAGTATATTCACCTTAAGTAGCCTTTTCTGACAAAGTTATCCTCAGAAAGACTCTACTAAGACTCTAATTGCCACATTAGTAAAGTGTGCTTGCAATATGCAGGTAGATGGCAGCAACGTTCACAAAAAACAATTTTAGTTTTTGTGGGTTAAATGTCCCCATGAGTTCTTAATTTTAGAGTGCTGTGCAAATGGCTTAATAGTTACTCTGTGCCAAGTGTTTTATTCTGAGTTGCAATTGAATTCTATTGTATATACATTGTTGCTCTTAACAAAGATCTCCAGTTGTGAGTTTGTACCCTATCTTGGGGGTAGAGTTTTACTGACAAAAAAATAGGTTGTTTTTTTTTTTAAGATTTTATTTATTCATTCATGAGAGAGAGGGGGGCAGGGAGCCTGACGTGGGACTAGATCCGGGGTCTCCAGGAGGCGCTAAACCGCTGGGCCACTGGGGCTACCCTGACAAAAAATAGTTTAAATAAGTAAATAGAGGAACAACAAGTACACTAGTCTCTGGATCTCCATTTTGTAGTCTATAGTTTACTTCTAGTCAGCATAAAATTCTTAAAAAAGGAGCTTTTGTCATTTAAAACACATTTAGATTCATGATGTTGTACACCTGAAACTAATGGTAATGTGTCAATCATTTTCTTAAAAAAAGAGATAAACAGGGCACCTGGGTGGCTTAGTGGTTGAGCATCTGCCTTCAGTCAGGTTGTGATCCCAGGGCCCTGGGATCAAGTCCTGCATTGGGCTCCCCACAGGGAGCCTGCTTCTCCCTCTGCCTACGTCTCTCTCTCTCCCTCTCTCTCTCTCTCTCTCTCTCTATGTGTGTGTGTGTCTCATGAATAAATAAAAATCTTTTAAAAAGTTAACTAATTAAAAAATAAAAAAATTTAAAAAGCACAATTACATTCTCAAAAGCTTAATAATATACTTTCTGCACTATAATTTTATTTTTATTTTTTGCACTATAATTTTAATCTTGCAAACACATTATCCCAGCAGTACTAGGCAAAAACTTAAATAATGAATGTTCATATATCATATGAAAAACGGTATAGATATATTTATATGAAAAATGCAGTTTTATCAAACAGCATGTACTAATCTAATTATATAAAATACACAAATAGAGAAAAAGTGCCAAAAATGTGATGGTACCCATCTAAACCGTGCTAATGCTGTATGGTGGAATAACATGTGATTTTCATTTTTTTCTTATGCCTAAAGACTTTTTTTTCTAAAACTTATATAAGTGAGTTTTTCATTTTTAGGAAAAAATAAATTAATTTAAATCTTTATAGAACATGGGATATGTTTGTCAACTCAAGTGCCTGAGTTTCATAAGAAACATAAGAGATTCATAAACAATAAAATGTCCAAACTGTAGCTTGCAGGCTACAGTCTTGCAGGCAAAACTATATAGATCAGTGGTCAGTTCTATAGAATAGAACTCAATAGCTTATTTAGGAAAAAAAAAATCTACCAATAGGCATTTATTAGTTTACAGAATTGTTGGGAGGGGTGGAGAAATAATGTACTTAGGGCTTTCAGGAATGATTCCCCAAGACACACTGCAGAACCAAACCAAGAGCCAGCTGTTGCATGTACACTCAGGAAGCAAATTGAAAACTTGAGGGCAGCCTGTGTGGCTCAGCGGTTTAGTGCTGTCTTCAGCCCAGAGCGTGATCCTGGAGACCCTGGGTGAGTCCCACGTCGGGCTCCCTGCATGGAGCCTGCTTCTCCCTCTGCCTGTGTGTGTCTCTGCCTGTGTGTGTGTGTGTGTGTGTGTGTGTGTGTGTGTGTGTGTGTGTGTGTCTAATAAATAAATAAAATCTTTAAAAAGAAAACTTGAGAAGCTAATGCTGATGCTGGAGTCTCCAGAACCACACTGACACTGCACAATCAGGAAGTGATTGCTGTTGCAAAACTGCCACGTCTAGGAAGCCGCAACAAATAAGAAGTCTCTGTGACCAGGAAGCCTCCTTATTGCTTCCGGTTCCAGGAACACACCATACCTGACATAACAGGTATCAGAAAACTGATGTTCCATGCTTTGACTATCACCACCATGAAACTACTGATCGAATCCTGGGACTTTAGGTAGTATTGCCACAGAAAGATTAGTTGTCTACTGATCACGCTTCCCTCTAGAAAAAAAAGCCAAATTAAGAATAAATTCTGACTCCATTCTTCCTTGCTAATATTGAATGCATCCCAACTCCAGCTGTAGAAATGTCTGGATGTGTAGTGTTTAGCTCTTCAGCCTCTGCAGTAAAGAATGGCACACTGGAAGGAGCTGGAATGCATATTGAGCACCAATCTACTTTATCCCATAAGACAATGGTAGCGGATTTTAAATGAAGGGAAAGGGAAGAAAAATGTAGACCTAAGCTTTCGATATATTGAGCTTGACATGGTTAAAACCAAAGTCATTATTGCTCTACCCTCCAAACCATCATCTTACCTAAAATTTTGAGTTTCTATTAAAGCTACCATTATGGGGATCCCTGGGTGGCGCAGTGGTTTGGCGCCTGCCTTTGGCCCAGGGCGCGATCCTGGAGACCCGGGATCGAATCCCACGTTGGGCTCCCGGTGCATGGGGCCTGCTTCTCCCTCTGCCTGTGTCTCTGCCTCTCTCTCTCTCTCTCTCTCTCTCTATCATAAATAAATTCAAAAAAAAAAAAGCTACCATTATGCTATGACTTCTGTCATTTTTTTTTATTATTTATTTATGATAGTCACACAGAGAGAGAGAGGCAGAGACACAGGCAGAGGGAGAAGCAGGCCCCATGCACCGGGAGCCCAACATGGGATTCGATCCCGGGTCTCCAGGATCGCGCCCTGGGCTAAAGGCAGGCGCTAAACCGCTGCGCCACCGAGGGATCCCGACTTCTGTCATTTAGAAACCAGTATGTGTCCTATATCTATGTGCCATCCAAGAAATATTTCTCAGTAAATAATGCCCTACACTACAAAATAGTGAGGACATATAACTAGAAAAGTTGCATCCTCAACACAACTGTTTGTACTAAACATTGTGTTAGCAAATTAAACCACTCTGACAGACCTACTAATATCACATCTGCAACAGTGATTCTTCACCTTTTTTTTTTTTTTTTTGGTCCCACAAGGCCTAGTAGAAATATCTTTTTGAGTAATAATGACTCGCCATGGCACAAAGTATTCCACATAGTCATTAAAATTAAAGCTGTATTCGTCAGTTATGGATTGTGAACATAAATGTTTTCAATTCAAACATCTTCAAAATTTACTGCAATGAATTTTGATGAAAATGGCAATAGAGCATCAATAAACCT